CTCCTCCCTGATTTAGTAATTGTATTCACCTGGTCCCTCTCCCCACACCTGCAATTCATCTCCCTCTCATCTTCCCAGTCTATTTAAGCCCTGTCTTGTCTCTGTGTTGTCGGCCCATTGTGTATTTGTCAGCATTTGTTCGTGCTCTGTTTGAGCTTTTGTCTCCAGGTCTTCATGCTCTTAGTGAGCTTTTGTCTCCAGGTTTTTGGTGCTCTAAGAGAGCTTTGGGTGTCCTGTTCTCCAGGACTTTTGGACTTTTGGCCCGCTGCCATTTTGGATTTATTTTTGTTCTTCCTAAATAAAAGGATTTTTACTTTTACCAACTTCTGCCTTGAGTCATCCTGGGTAATCTGCATATTTGGGTCCTAAACATCCCCGCAACATGACACTGATACATTCCTGATCACTTTAATATGAATTTTATTTTGATAGCCTCCCCATCACCCAGCGAGCAAAGACTGGCAGCTTACGATAAGCTTACAGCTTATGATGGTGGCACAGGAGTTAAATGCTCGCCCCGTAATCGGAAGGTTTCAGGTTCGAGCCCTGCTCAGTCTGTCACTGTGTCCTTGGGCAAGACACTTAACCCACCTTGCCTGCTGGTGGTGGTTGAAGGGACCGGTGGCGCCAGTGCTCGGCAGCCTCACCTCTGTCAGTGCGCCCCAGGGCAGCTGTGGCTACATCGTAGCTCATCCCCACCAGTGTGTGTGAATGGGTGAATGACTGATTGTGTTGTGAAGCGCCTTGGGGGGTTCCAGACTCTAGAAGGTGCTATATCAAATACAGGCCATTTACCATTTCAAACTATGACTAGCCGGTTAACACGATAAATAAAACTGGCTACCTGATAAATCACTATTTACTTATTTTGGTTTGAGGCAGTCAGCTAATGACTCACGATACCAAAATGTTGTAATTACAACAACTTCCCTGAGGAAAAAAACCTCAGAAACACCAAGAATGAACAGCGTTCAATGATGGAGCTATCAGGAGCTCCATGGTCGATGTTACTTCTGCTTTCCATTCTTTCGGTTGAAGCCTACGGGAGTGTACGAACTCTGTATCTCAATTGCGGCAGTGTATTGCTGGGTTTGAATCACGTGACTCTGCACACAAAAATCAAATGGGGGACAGGAAGTGTTCTGCTCCACTGCAAAACAGGGCGATGGATGAAAGCGGTTTTACTAAGGCTTTAAATGAGCTGGCACAGATGCAATATCACGAAGAAATGCACCTTCCTTTAGGTCAGGGGTGGGGAACCCTGGTCCATCGAGGGCCGCTGTCCAGCACATTTTAGTTTCAATCCTGCGTCATCACACCTGATTTCAATCAGCAGGTGATTAACAAGCTTCTGCAGAGCTTGATGAGCTGCAGAACAGGTGAATAAACCACTGAATCTGAAGTGTTGGAGCAAAGACATGCAGGATACCGGCCCTCGAGGACCAGAGTTCCCCACTCCTGCTTTAGGTCATGACCCATACAGTTTTAAAAGTTGGACATTCATACACTGTGGAGGATTTACCCAGCGCTGAAGTGATCGGCATAACAAACTACCTTGTGATGCCTCATACACTGCAAACCAAATAAAAGCTTAGCCTGGAAGACTACAGCTGTTTTATTTCAGGTTGGTTAACCTTTTATTGATCGGAGAAGCTTTAAATGACGATCGTCTTGTTTTCGCTCGGGTAGGTAGTGAGTTCTGCTATTTAACTCATTATGTGCTAGGATCTACTTGTAACTAACATTTTATACCTTTTTAAATCCAAATTTCTTGTACGTTTGATTTTAAAAAGGTTAAAATACCACGTTACAATGCTAAGCTAACTGCTAAAACATCAGCAGTCTGAACGCTATTTGCATGAGGACACATGAAAACTGTATCAAACTGTTTACCTGCTGTTTTTTGGCCGTGTTTAGGTAACTGTTTAATAAAATGCCATAAAACATTTAGTAAACCCCTACCTGTTAGAAAGTGATCGCAGTAAACTCCAGTATTGTCCGTTTCAGCTGCTGTTTGAAGCCGTAGACTACTGATTTACTTCTGCCGTCTTCTTTCAGTACGTTTCATTATTATTATTTTTTTTATAATTAAGTCCAATGTGGTGCACTACATTTGGGACTTGAAGAACATGTTTGTCTTTGTTCCGATGATTTTGATAACCATAGACTGAGCAGAATTTCAGCATTTTAACGCCCAGTCAACAAAGTAAACAGGGTTCTGTGCAGCTCCGGCTACTTCCATACGCCCATCTGCATTTTGAGCAACGTCACGTGAAACCCAGCAGCAGCCTGAACAAGCAATGTGGGCGTGGTCAGCTCCAGTTTATTTATTTATTTTTTTTATTGTGACAGAGCCCTGAAACGGTTCATTCAGGAAGGTACTGAAAATGATGAAATTGCTTTATGTTAAGAAGGATTTTATGAGAGGCATAATTAAATTGCACTGGTTCCATGGTTGTTACCATGGAGCTATTATAAAAGTGTGTGTCCTTTAAATTCCAGGGCTCAAGTTCAGTTAGATTTCTTAAACGTTTGTTTTATAAATTAACATTCATATGAATTGCTGTGAAACTTGCGAATATTGAGCTGATTTGATGGCAATTTTGGATAATTCATTCTAACAAATTATGTTTAGCTCAATGGTTCAGTTAAATTAGACCCAGTTAAAGCTGCTTTCCGGAGTTTTCCTCTATCAGAAATTATGTATAATTGTTCAGAAATCCATAAAAGTGATTATCTTATCATGTACTGTGAAATAATACAAGCAATACGTCTTTTTTTTCTTCTAAACTTGCCCCCTGCCCGGCAGAGCTCCGTGCAATAGGAAACTGAGCGCCGACCAGAACTAACCAATAGCGGTAGACTGTCACTTAGACACTTCAAATTTAAGGAATACTTCTGCTGATGCAGAGTTGATGAATTTTTCACGGACAAGAAAGTCTCTAAAATATAAATATATGAAAACACAGCATGACATGAGAATAATACTTGGAAAACAACGTGTTTTAGCTCTGTTTGTCGGCTACAGAAGCACATTTATAAACAGAAACGTAAAGTCACTATCTTAAAAAAACAAAGGAACAGCGTTTTTGTGTGATATGCTTGTCAGCCACTAGATGGTGCCATTAGATAAGAGATATACTCTGGATTGAAGCTTTAAATTAGCTAAAGTGGCTCAAATGCCATGAAAAAAAACTTTTTATAAACCGTGGGTCTGCCATTATTTTTACATTACATAGTGATGACCCCTGGAAGTGCATACATATTCATGTTACAATTAGTGGCAAAGAAAATGCTGTATGAACAACTTGGACATTTGGAGACTAGAGCTGCTTTCTGAGGGCAGGAATCCCAGCTGCGTCCAGACTAGCCATTAGCTCATCAATCCTGCTAGTTACATGCTGCATTTTTCCAAACAGAGTCTTTCCAGGAAGCTAGCTAAAATGGTTACAGTGGTCATTTATAACTTTTACACACAAGAACAAACCTAAATGGATGAAAGATCTATTTTAGATGCATACTTATGCTTAGGCTGAGGAAAAAAACATTATACAAGTGATGAGGAAAGATGAAAACAAACATCTCCAAAACTATTTATATCTGTATGTTTGATATAAAATAATGAATTATTCTGTGAGCATTGCTTTAACAGAGTTAAATAAATATGCACAGATTTCCTTCTTCCTGTCCTGCTGCATCGTTGATACTAAAGGGAAGTTTCAGAGTTTAGAAGAGAAAGTTTGCTTCATTATTTAGCTTCACAAAGTAGAACAATCGAGTGGCTGTGCCTGGAGATTACGCTGCACGTTTCTGCATCACCATGCAAGATCCTGAAAGACAAACAGACAGTTGTAAACCTCGTAGCTGACACTGATTCCTTTTTGGGGATTTAACTTCCACTCTGTGGATTCACTGCCTCATGTCCATCAAATGTGAGTTAATTAACTTTACATCTTCACATATCCATCTGTTCGAGTGTTATTACTCCACAATAAAACAATTTTTATCATGTATTTTTAAATGGACAGAGATTGGAGCAGACTGCAAGTGCTGCACTCCTGGAATGAGGATTTTTGTATGAAAAATAGTCAGTTGATGATGAATCACTGCAGTCCAGATTTAATGAGGGACCTCACATCCACATCATCTCAGAGTGTTCCACGTGAGAAGATGCCTCAATCAACAGTATGGTTTGCATTGAAAACCTTTAGTTTGTAATTTGAAGATGTTGATTTTATTTTACTTCACTTATACAGAAAAAGAACAAAGCAACCAGGAAAAGTCAGTTTCATTAGGAGTGATGAGTCAGAAAATGTGACAGACTAGAAATAAAATAATTATAATCATATGAATGCAAACTCTACATAGACAATGTGCTGTGAGAATGTATTTACACCCTTACAGATTAGTTTTTTTAGTCACTTAAAAATATCAGATCAGCAAATAATTTATACTATCAGATAAAAGTGATGGAAATGAACACAACATGCACTTGTTAACCAATACACACATTTACTAAGGGAAATAAAATTATCCAAACTAATTATCCCACTTGTAAATAAAATATCCCAGGCCAAAGAAGCAAATACTTTAAATCTGTCTCTTGATTAACAAAAAACACTGTGATGATTCACCAAGACTTTGGGGAAAATATGTTGTGAACTGAAATGTAACTTTTTGTTGTGTAACATCTGGAGTAAAGTGAATTTCAACAGTCAAACACAGAGGTGGCAGTGTGATGGTCTGGAGCTGCTTTGCTGTAATTGATGATTGTTTTGCTGGAAAACACTCCAATGTGGCTGAATGAAAACAATTCTGTAAAGAAGAATGGGACAAAGCTCCTCCACAGTGATGAGAGACTCTTTAGTTACCACAAAATTGCAAAATAAAGTTCAGGTGTCCACAGAGCCAAGGTGTTTTAGATCAAATCTGGGAAGGTGGCATATTTTCTCAGGTTATCTTTGATCCAGGACTTTGTTTATGTGACGAAAGAGCACAAACAAAAGAAAAGAGTAAGGGGGCTGGTACTTTCCCACAGCCCTGCAGGAGGAGTTAGTCAGAAGGAAACAGATGTAAACTCGGCGAGTTCTGTGTCTTTACGCAGACCTGAAACAGTTTGGAGCTCTTCAAAGCCCTCCACTGTCCCCTAGCTCCTCCCTCTCTGTACCGTGTGACAACAACAACTCATTCACAGAGCGGAGCTGCACTTTTCAGCTCATTTTCCTCCTGTCATTCCTCCTCCTATCTTTGATCATTGTCCCGCCGCTCGCCCCCCCTCCAACCCCCCCAGAAAGCTCTCACTCAGCACGCCTTTTTTCGGGTTAGCTCCTGAGGAGCTAAACTCTGAGGGATTCTTCATTCAGCAAGCTGGGTTTTCCACTTTGAACTTCGGCTCCTCTCTTCCCCTCCTCTAGGTGACCATGGCCGTACCGGCTGCTCTCATCCCACCGACTCCTCTGGTCCCGCCGCCTCCGATCTCTACTCCCTCCGCCACCACGTCCCCGCCGTCGACAACTTCATCACCGTCTCCATCCTTGGTCCCCCCGTCGGGACCCGGACAGAACCTGTTCCGATCGGAGCTCCTCGCCACCGGCAGTCCGGGCATCCCGAACCCGAGCGCGGCTCTGCCGCCGGGCAAACCCGTCTACTCGACCCCGTCTCCTGTTGAGAACATCCCGCAGAACAACGAGTGCAAGATGGTCGAGTTGCGCGGCGCGAAGGTAGCCTCGTTCACGGTGGACGGCTGCGAGCTCATCTGCCTCCCGCAGGCGTTCGACCTGTTCTTGAAGCACCTGGTCGGCGGACTGCACACGGTCTACACCAAGCTCAAGCGGCTGGAGATCACGCCGGTGGTGTGCAACGTGGAGCAGGTCCGCATCCTCAGAGGGCTCGGCGCCATCCAGCCCGGTGTGAACCGCTGCAAACTCATCTCCAGAAAGGACTTCGAGACTCTCTACAACGACTGCACCAACGCAAGGTTAGTGGAGCGCTCCGGCGTGTTTAAAGGTCCCCACCGAACCGTGCGTAAAGGCGCACGAGCAAGCAAGGGGGAGACATTTTCCCCTTTTCGCACAAACACTCTACATCCAAATACACAGTTCCTAATTTGTCCACGTGCATGCATGCATGTGTTTGTAAGAGGATGTTTCATGCAGATGCTGGAGTGTGTGTTGGAGCGAAAGAGACCAGCGCGCATCATGGAAAAAGTTGGGTGAAAGTTTTTAGCACGTGCACACTAAAGCTGAACATTGACATTTTGCTTCAGTTTCATGAATTCGGAATCAAACAATATAAATAAAACAGGTAAACAAAGATATGAGAGCTGAATCACGAAAACATAATTTTATATTTTTGTTTTCTTAAATGAAACTCGAGCCAGTTCCATTTAATTTTCCAGAAACAATAAAGTCTCAAAGAGCAAGAGCAGTTTTCATAACTTTGTTTCCTCTTGTGTTTGCGGCCTGAATCAGATATAATTCATAGTTGAATAAAGTAGGCTAATTTAATTAGTAAACTTAGTTTAATTTTACATTAATTAATTAACTGAACGTCCCTAATTGTTACAAAACAAATACAATAACTCAGATGTGTGTATACGAATGCACCAAATCAAATAATTTCAGCCTTTTAAAAATAAAATCTGAGTGATTTAAGCAAAGATCAATATTTGATTAAAAGTCGTTTTCATCCTCCCCTGTTGCTCCTGTATTTTTGATGCATGGCTCAGCCTCACAGGATGGTTCAGCCTGGTCAAATTTACCATCCCACCTGTCACTTTGATTGATTTCCCATCGATCCCCTACCCAGAGATGAGCAGGAAATGCAGATATGATGGAAACACTCATCAGTGATGGAGGACAGAAAATAAACACTTAAAGTTATTTTGGGTGTCGTTTAAAATGATCTATTTTATAAGAAATGCTGAGTTAGATCAATCCCAGAACCACACATCAGGAGATGTTTTGTGCCAAAAAGATTCATTTTAATTAATTAGATTTATCCTAATAAATGTGTTAATTAATTAGGTCTGAAAATGCTAAACTAATTTAATTACATCTCAGATTTTCATGTTGTTTGTATTTAAATATATTTTTTTTTTACAGTTTTAGCCTTTAGTTCATTTGTTTTATAGCTGATTTATAATGAATTCAGCCTCACACGTCGTCAAGAAACATGATGCAGCTTCAAATTCTCATTCCAGTGCAGCAATTGTCTCAACAATTCACCTCTGTACTTTGGTGCTTAAGCATCATTTACATAAAGCATCAAGGGAGCTGAGCATCACCCCACACACACACACACACACACACACACACACACACACACACACACACACACACACACACACACACACACACACACACACACACACACACACACACACACACACACACACATCCCTGCACACTCCGTGAGTGGTACAGTATGGTGTGGCGTGGCGGTGTTGAGCTCCAGGTGACAAAGTATGTGGCTGAACTCTCCGGGTTGTCAATGGGGGGATGGCCAGCTATGGGGTTAAAGGATAATGCAGTACCTCGCGTCGCTTTAATGACGCTAAAGTGCTGGGCTATTACGGGCACATGGACAGGACTGTAATTGTCTCTGAAAGCAGCCAGGTTCTCCCGGTGCTGGGCTGAAATCAATCACTCAGACCTCGGCCTGCCTGCCTGCCCCATTTGGAGAATTACATCATGGAGCAGCGAGGCATCCTGCAGGATAAAAGGCTTCTGTTACTTAGAAAGAGTTGATTTTATTTGCAGGGATGAGCGCTTTGCTCTTGTCTGTTGCTGAAATGCTGCTGACAAAACGATCACTTTGAGTAAACAGGACACAGGTTGCCCTGGAGGTGAAAACAAGTCCCTCTCTTTAAAGTTGTGCTTTTTCCACCAGTGGGATAAAAGTATCTGAGTTCAGCGGTTTACCCCGCTCGGGTTGCACATCAACAACAACAACCTGCCTGGGATGGCTTAGCTTTTCATCTCTTACCACAATGTCACCGCTCTTTTCTCTTTTTATATGAATACAGTGGCAAAGTGATAACAAAGACGTGAATAATACTCGTGTACAAAAGATCTCACTGTTTCACATGCACTCGCCCCTCCTGCAATCAGGCTATTGTGTTAAAACACCACCAGTCTCTTTTTGCACCCAGTGTGAGTGAATGGCATCACAGAGCTCCGCTGCAACCTGCTGTTAGTGTGTTTTTGATCTGGACTCAGACAAATTGTTACCCTGCTCAATCGACTTCAGCACGTACACACACACACACACACACACACACACACACACACACACACACACACACACACACACACACACACATACACACACACACACACACACGCACGCACGCACGCACGCACGCACACACACACACACACACACCTGATATTTAATATTATTATTATTATTAAAATAAATAATGTTGATTTCGGACTCAGAAATCTTTTGTTTTTAAATAAAAATCCAGATTATGAGTTCATCAGTTCTAATTCTCACTAGCAGAAACATTTTAGGAAGTTTTTTTTGCCTGAATCATATTTTTCCAATTTTTCTTTTTTTCCCCAAATTTCTAAACACGCTGCACACAAATGAGAAACCCGTATCGGCCCTCAGGACCAGAATCGGTGCATTTATGAAAACACACTTTTACAGATTATTTAAACTACTTAGCTGTTAATCTTTAAACACACCCAAAATACAATACATGTCAACCTCTTTATTTTCTGAAGGACTCTCATGCCAGATTACCAATGTTCGTTCCTGCACCCATACTGATCCGGGTTCAGTAATCCTCCCCCCTCTTGCCTCACCCCTTACATTATGACTCTGGCCCTCCAGGAGCCCTATGTTCCAGCTACTTGTTTTCCTTTTCATTTTCCCTGCGGTGGGATGAAAAAGGTTCTTATTGCTGCGTGACACTTGAACTCTCTGAAAGGTTATTATAACACAGGGAGGGGTGAGGTGAAGAGTGTGTGTGTGTGGGGAGGGGAGAAAGAGAGAAAGATATCGCATATCTCTCACTGGTCTGCTTTGTGCAGGCTGTGCTATCCGATGCTGGGGCGCAGAAATACAGCAGTTAATTGACAATCATTGTCTACCCCTGAAGGTTAACCGCACGCCCCAGACAGCGTCCCACCACTGGGAACGCCTCGGCTTTTCACTTACATGCCCTCCTTAAATAGATTTTCCCCGGCTGGTTTCAGTCGAACAGACCCGACTCTGAAAAGTGTGACAGGTCGCAGTTTAAAATCAAAAATAAAAAAAACCACTCTCTCTTTAACAAACGTATATAATTGATGCCGAAGCGACAGGAAGTGTAACGCCAGCCCTCACCTCTCTTGTTCCCACTTCACGAGTGTTTATGCCTAAACACACATATTTGCAAATGACGGTAATTGTTTTGTTTAGCGCTCAGTGTGAGCTGCCACCGAGGGTGCCAGCTTGTCTCTCTCCCTCCTCTCCTCTTCTGCTGAGCTCTCTCTTATAATATATTTGTTTTCTACAAGGCGCGGATGTGTTTACAGGTACTCAGGGGAGATTTCTGGATTCCATTCAAATCATTCCCAGTCAGAGTGGGTGCTAAGATACCCGTCACCCAGCAACCGCATCCAAGAGAGAGCTCGGACGATAATAACTTCAAAAACAGAGTGACAGATGCCTGATTAGAGAAGGAGAAGGAGAGGGAGAGAGATAAAGATGGGCAGGAAGAAAAGAGAGCGAGAGATAATGGTATACAAAGCGGTTTAAAATCCAAATCTATTGAAGTACTTTCTCGAAAGCCAAATTGGCTCTTATATTGTTTGTTGCTTCTTTACTGAAGTCAGAAAAAAGGCATTTTAAGTTGTTTTTTTTCGTCTCATTTTAATCCTTCAGTGGGGATCTGCTAAATTTGATTAGGTACAGTACATGTGCTCAAGTCAACTGTGCAGTTGGCAGATGGCGGCAAGGTGTTTTTTCTTTTTTTTTTTACTTTCTTGCAAACAAATAGTCTCCTTGAAAATCAGAATTGCTTTATTGACTTGACATTCACTGAGCTGGAAAAAAATAGCAAATTAAAACTTCGTTTTCCTTTTCTCTCTCTTTTTTTTTTTTGAGAACTCCATAAAAGTAGCTGAGTTTACCAAATGCGTTTCTGTTCGGATCATATTTCCCAAAATGAAGCTGAGCCAAGACTGCTAAAACCACAGATTTCACTTGTTAGAGAGGCTTTGTTTCCACACTGTCTAATGTCATTTGTGGATTTAGAGGCTATTTGCATGGGAAAGAGGCCTGTATTGTTAATTTGCCTCTTGGATGCATTAGTTGTCCCTATCTTATTTGCATGGCTTTACTGGATCTGCAGAAGTGATTGATTTGCCAATTAATTCCTTGGCAAAATGAAAAGTCTTTCTTACACCAATCTGCACATGTAAATGATACGTTTGTGCAGAACCCACTCTATTCTTTAGATTTAAATGAGTCACATAGTGATTTTACCTTCTGACTGATCCCCCCCCCCTTTTTTTTTATATTGCAGCACCTTTAGAGAGCATGGCGGAAGTCACTGACGCTTGTACCAGGATGTTAAATGCTCCTGACAGAAGTTAGAGGGAGCAGATGAGATTTCCTGATTGGAGAAGGAATGCAGGCTCTTGCTGGGCTCTGTCTAATATGGTCACATAGAGAAATTGATTTTCCTCAGAAATTAATTAATTTTTCATATAGCCCAGAGCTGGAGTTTAAAAAAGAGTGCGTACTTGCTGGTATCCTATTTTCTCTCTTTTTAAAAGAATTATTGCCTAATCATATTAATACTTTTGCCCCAAGGATGAAAAGATAATTGTACAAATGCATTTGGAAATATGTATCACTGAGTATTTATGATTAAATTATGCAAATAACTCGGCTCCCGTCCTTCCTGGGTGCAGATTGTCTAATTAGGATTGATATGGCGAATAGATGTTGGGGAATCTGAATACAAGCATGTCCAAAGAG